TTGTACATTCATATATTCAGGTTCTGCCCGACAAATTTCTTTGGAATTTAAGTTCATGTCAAAAGACATTAGTCGGGCAGACCACGAATATATGAATATACACACACCCATAATTAACGCTCTAGTTACGCCACTGGTTAGCAGTCTGCTGTAAACGACAATCTTATGGTCTCTGTTATATCGCAGGCATCCTACCCTCCAGTTATGACTAGTTGAATGAGTGTTAAGCGGTTAGCTTCGAAATGCTGCAAGACTTCAGTTTATATGTAGGAAAACCGAATAATAAGTGTTCAATCTTTAGGAAACCCCACCAGAGGCGTAGCCATGATGGGGAGGGGGGAGAGATGCACCAATTTTGTAATTCTTTCAAAACTGAGGAAAAACTGGGGGGGGGGGTAACCTGGGGTGTAACCTGGTACTGTTTGAATTTATGACATAAAATATACCAAATCTGTACGTCACTTTCAGATTATCATAAAATGCGTCTAAAATGCATGAACTAGCGTTTCGCAGACCCCAAAATTCGAAACATTTCTGCGAAACCATGCTTCCAGATAGCCCGATAATCAGATCTTCTCCCCCACTCGTTGGGTACAAAAAAATAAATGGTCAGGAATGTACTAAGGTGGTACATCCACAAAAGAGCATATGTTGTCTGTAAATTGCTCCTAAAAATGTCTTCGTCTGTAATCCCATTAAAATTTGAGCACGCAGTTACTGGAATGTAACCTCTAATCTTATCTCATGGTTATTTGATCTGTGATATTCCGCAGCATTATGAAGTCAAATAATTCCATTAACGAAAGAGCACGATCAGTGAAATGATTGTTTCCCAGGGAAAATATCTCGATAACTTTATAATATTGAAATATCATCAATCAAATAACAATCAGTGGCCATTGTATTAAACCCTTTCTTCTCTTTAATCAAAATGTTGTAGTTAAAATTGTAGTTAACTTAAAAACATGCAGGCACAAATTTTCTGGGGGAGGGTGCGCACTCCCCCCGAAATTATTTGCACCCCCCCCTCCCCGAAGGCATTTGACACCCCTGCAAATTACATATATTTTGATTTGATAGTTTCATATTTGATTATTCTTACTACTAAATTTGTAAAATTACCAATATTATGGTCACAGATCTCTCCATGCAGGCATAGAAAACAAATTTTGTTAAACTTTTTCCTTGGCCCTTACGGGCGTTGCCACCCGGCCAAAGCAAGCAGCAGTACCCCCCAGATATTTATCCAGCCCCCCGAACAAAAATCTGTCTCTGAAAACACGTGATTTTGATTGGTTAAAGTGGAAGTCAAGTCCGTAATGTAAACAAACGGTTGTTTACATTTTGAACTGCTGTATTTTTTAAAATATGACGTATACTGTCTGAATATCTAACACCATTTTGGTTTGCTATGCTTTTAAATGAATATGAAATAGAGTTTATGTTCAGAAAAATTCGAAACATTTGAAATTTGGGCAATATTTACATCAGAGGGCCCTCACATTGTTATGAGCAGAACCGATGCGCAGAACGGACTTGACTTCCACTTAACTAATTTCGCTGCAATCTGTAGTTAACTTTTAACTACCTTTTTACACAACCAACCAATTTTGTAAATTCAGTTGGATTAATTGCAAACTAATTAATTATGCCCTAATATGAAATTACCTTCATAGAATCTGACAAAAGGCCTTGACACGACAGTCTTTGAAGGTGGATGAAGAACCAGACCACGTGACAGACGTGCCATCATGGGATTGCTAGACGAATCTGACACACGACAGCTAAATATTTCTAGGCTTGTAGAAACATCGACTGTTTTCTCAACTTCACCAAGTTGAACTAACTCATTTAAGTTGGAAAATAGTTCGTCAAAAGAAAAGCTTCTAGTTGGATGTCCACAGTCAGCATGTTCGCTCGATTTACTTTCCACCTCCTGTTTGCCAAAATTTCTGACTTGAATAAGGCTGCACAGAAAATAATCCTTTGTAAATGGCTGTTGGCATATCTTCATTAAATGAGCAATAGTTTCATCGGAATTCGGCACAGCTTTGTCATAGCGGGCGAAAAGTGGTTCCCAACAACTTCTTGTTGAATTCCAATGACACTCAAACACTTCAGATTCATCATGGGACATTAAAAATGGATTGCAGCAACCTGTTATTGTATAACACCGCGACCAGTCGAACACATCAGATTCGTCTAACCACGGGTCTGGCTCATTTTCTGTAAAACTGAGTCGAATATCACAATGAATATCATCTTCACTTTGCCATTTAAACGTCAATGGATCAGGCCCGAATACATATGCTTTGTCTGGCGTAAAAACTAAACCATCACAAGAATATGGAAATTCAGTATTAAGACACGTCAGGATGTCTTCTGGTGTGGATTCTCGATGTCCTTTAATTGCACAATGGACAGTAAGCATCTCCTTGACCAGACTTGACTTGTGGTTAGCTTGAGACTGATCATCTGTCGATGCTTGATTCATCACAGCGACAATATCTTTCCTGATAGGAAGTTTACCCAGGCTCTCCAATCTCACACTGAATGGCCATTTCCACAGGACCTCTCCCGATACTGCAAGCACATCAAATACCAGGAAAACACTGGTCTGCAACTGGGATGTGCTCATCTTTGGATGTATTTCTGACATGAAATTCGAAGAGGAAGGCAATAATTCTCCGTCCAATACTGTATTTTCAGGTAATTGGTCATCAGCAATGTGGCAGGGATAAATCTCGTTTTTCCTAGTGATTAAGTATGTTCCATTCGAGACCTTCAGCAACAGACAGCGCACACCATCTGCCTTAATAGTAACGTAGTACCGTGCTGGATTTGCAACCCACTTCACATCACGATAGCTGTGGACAAAGGAAGCTGGAAGAGAGAATTGAAACTGGGAAACATTTAAAACAGAATGTAAACTCGCAAATACATTCTTTATGTGGCTTGAGTCCAAAAGCATAAATTGCAAGTTATTAGGGGGGGAGCAGATAGGATAATCATACAGCGAAATACCCCACCAATACGAAGACGGATCAGTTATTTTGGAAAGCAATTTTAAATTCGTGTAATAGTTAATTAAGTCATTGGATTTCTTCTTCCATTGATAAAGATATTCATGAACAGAACCAAGCATCATGCGTAACATATCAGTGTTTTCAGCGCGCTCCTGCCAGTGTTGTTTCAATCTTTTTTCATCGATATCAAATAGCAATGCTCGAGTGATTTTAAGGCCATATTTGTTTGCTTGTGCTGCAACAAACTCCGCATCTTCCAAGTCTTTAACACAGTCCAATATAAGCACGCC